TTTTTTTGGGTGATCCCCACCATGGCAGTCTATCTGGCATATATTCCAGCATTCTATCTGGCACACATTCTGGGCTGTGTTCTGACATATTTTCTCACACTATTGCCAGATCTTTCTAGCATTTATTCTGACATTCTGTCTAGCATAAATAACTTTAAATAATGATATTATATGATATTCAATTTATCTATCTGGCACATATCTTTGCATTCTATCTGGCATATGTTCTGACATTATTTCTGGGATTAATAATGACCTTCTTCCTGGGATCTGGCATTCTTCCGGGGCAATCTATTTGGCATCTCTTCTTGCATTCAGCCCTGGATGTTTATCTGCTTCAGGCCCGCCGCAATCTTGAGCGAGCTTCGGGCCCGGTGGTGCCCGGTTGGGCTCGGAAAAGCAAAAAAGAACTGTGCTATATACTTAAGCATCAATCTCCAATATTGACATGGGAATTGAAGTAATTATATACCTAGTTACCTAGTAATTCTGTGTGCTATATACACATATTGTGTTCTAGAGCTTGTGAGTTGCATTGCTCACAAATTTCATCTGCACGATCATTGTATGTGAATCTTGCAAATATCCAAAGGGTCCGAGCGTCAAAAATGGATTCGTGGGCGAAGGACTTTTTGGGGTTGAGGAATCATTCGACACCCGTCAGTCAGCAGCTATGGCTATGACCTCTTCAAATCCAAACACCAAAGACCGCCAATCCGCGCCTTGCTTAGAGCTTCGCAGCTTTCCAAGAAGGCAACCTTGCACACCGAGCAGAACCAATTCTGGAGAGTGACGGCTGACATCGGCGCATTTGCTTTCGACATCTGACACAAGAAAATAGATGTCGGTCTGTGGGTCTGTGGTATCCATGACATCTCAAAGATCTCAACGGTTTCTTTGCAGAATCCGGGTGTGAGTTCACCAGACTTCGGGTGAGTTCCCTAGATGTGCCTTTTTCCAGAAAAGGGTGGAGGGGTGGATGGATGTCCTCATTGCTTCCCCATGTCCTCATGACTTCCTATGACTTCCGATCCAAGGCACCACCAAGAGCCAGCTTTCGAGTCCACACAGAGAGGCACCACATGTGGCGGCAGGGCAGCGTGGGGGCCGCAGGCCTATGGTGGAAGTGTCTGTGTACGGAGCCCATGGCTCTACCAAGCTCCGCCCAGAAAAGAAACAAAACACACATGTTCCGCCCAAAAATATACAGTAAAACTGTGAGTCTGAGTCTGAATGAGGGGATCGTTGGGGCTCCGAAAATACCAGCGGAGTCCTTCAGGCTCGGCTTGGGAAGCTGAGAATCTCGGCCTGAAAATTTGGGTCAGTTGCTAAGAGATCCTGAGAGAATCTTCGTGCAGCTCAACCGGGCTGAACCACCAAGATGTTCGGGCTGAACACGGACGAAAATCTTGAGTTGACCATAAAGGATATTGCCCTTGGGGGGGACGGTTTCTTCATTGTTGAAGACTTCATGAACATATTCTCTGCAAGGCGAAGTGAGATGCTGAACTCTTCTTAGCAGCGAATGACCTGTAGATGTCTCTTGATGTTTCTCACAAGCTTGCTAGTATATAGGACAGGCCTAGGCCGCCTAGGCCTCTTTACTGGTCTTCTTTGAAGAAATCCTGAACACCCCGGGAACCACGGAGCTGGATTGCAGTGAGTCAATGGGCTGGGTCTCCGTACGTGTAGATAGGTGCAGGAGTTGTCGATCAACCGAATTGCCAGACTGGTCCTTCTCTTCTGGATGTATCAGAATCGCGGCAGTACACTGCCAGCTTAGATTAGGCCTTCTTTTGACCGTGGAGGTGCGAGGAGATTGTTAACAAAAGGCCCTTGCCCAGCCGCATTAGCGCTTGTGCGTCTGTCTGGGATGCTTCAGCCCAGCAGCTCACCGCTTGCATCAGCCCAACACGGGCCGGGCAGCATCCACCATTGCAGCACAGATCGTGTTGCTTGTGCCAGTTCAATTGATTCAGAGGGTCGGCTGCTGATCTTTACTGCTTCACCTCTATAACTAAACGAATGGCAAGGACAGAATGAGCAACCTCTTCCTGCTACACACTTCTCGAACAGACTCACCCTTCGAACGGTCCACGACGGGTCCATAGGGATTTTCAGCCATCAAGGGGGGCCAGATGTGTGAAACGGTCACTTTGAGCGTTCATGTGAATATGAAAAGATATGAAACATTTGTCCAGCTGAAGCCCTGATGACCTCTGTTATGTTGCTTCTGGTCAAGCTTATCACAGTCTTGAAACACTGAATACAGTTCAAGTTCTGGCATAGCGATTCTACCACATCTTGCGCTATTTCGATCTATTTGGATATATTTGGATAGGATCTCAACTCGTCTCCATTCCCAAAGGCCAGAAGTAAGTGTGTTGGCCGTGTGCTGCTAGCACCAGCTCTAGCATCATCTTTTTGTGTCCCGGTCCACTAAAGCTCATAAACGAAGGCTTCACCGAAGGTGTGGATTGAGAACCTGGACGGGTCATATTCACCACAAGGCGCAGGCTGAATCGGATTGCATGCGCAGCAGGCGCAGAAGGTTCCCCGGCAGCCCGGTTTGTTTGGTTGACGTGCAGAGGCGACCACAACGCGATGAAACATCTCATTTCCTCTCTCAAGTCATCTGCCGTATACGAGAATGAACATCACGAACCGACGGTCCGACATCACATGGAGTCCTGGACAGCCACTGGCTGTCAGGGAAGACCATGACATCCGAACACCCAGGGACCATGTGGCGACGTCCAATGCCATGGTGGCTGTGAGTCAGAGGGTAAATCGAAACGTGGAGTTGGGTCAAAACTAGACGCCTTGCTAGCAGTGCCCACCTGCCTTGCCTGCCAATGGCTCTCAAAACTCCAAACTCCCTTACTGTCGCTGTCTGTTCTTCTGGATAGATCCCGGAATGCTTAAAATGCATGACACACCCTTCACAGAACCCTGCAACAAACCTGTATCATATATTGTCATAGTGTGTCAAGCGAAAAATGCCCCGCCGAGAAGGCTTTATATGAGCAAGGCGCACCATTGGCCTAGGCTTTCATCCACCCCATGCGGCCTGTTGCATCTGCGCGTCCAGGCGCATCTCTCGAAACCGTTGCGCGTGGGCCTTGGGCACTGCATGGCTCTGCCAAATCACCATGCCTTTGGGGATCCAAATACCTTCTCAGAAGGTACGACTGGACCCTCCAAACCCTTCCAAGCTACATAACAGTGTCGAACACATCACCTTCTCAGAGGGTATGTTGATCCATAGGAATGGTTGGTCAGCTCTTGGTCATGTCTGCACGAACTTGGTCAGGGTATCCATTGCTGAGCCAAATCAAAGCCTGACCATTGTGGCATGCCCTCTCGGACCTTCACAAGGACCTCACCTTTTGCTCGCCAGATTGCTGATTGCTGTGATTGCTGAATTCCTGCCACACATTCAACTCATGAGTTGCCCCAAACTTCTCCCACCGCAGGAAGCGCTCGGAGATCTCCGGTCGCGCGACGCGTCATGCCGCGTCGTGCCGCGGTCGGTGCCGAGGAACGTGGTTCAGGGGCAGCACTGGCAGGGCCGAGATCTCGAGAGCAGCCTAGTCTCGCCGAGAGACTCGTGTTCCGATGGAGAAAGCAGCCACACTGTGTTCCGAACAACAAAGGCAGGTGCTCTTTTTGGCAGGTGCTCTGAACTGATTACCCCCAACGCCCTTTTGAAAAAATAGACTGAACCGAACGCTCTCCACCCTTGTTCGACTTCTGTCTCTAAGATGGGTCCTCCCCCTGCCCAAGTTCGCTGTGGCCCAAAAGCATTTTCGGTGAAACAAAACCATGTCGTTCAGCAGTGGAGGCTGTGGCCCTGCCTGCATGGAGTAGGTCTTCCGGCCGTGACGATGGGAGCTTGCACGATTGGCCTCAAAGGAACGACATAGGAAGCGAAGGGACGGGCATTCTCCCCGAGATCGGCCAGCAAAAGGGTCAGTCAGGGTGTTCTACTGGTGCATACATCTTCTATGCACCATATATGGTTTTAAAAATAGACAGAAGCGCATCCCCAACAGCGAAATATGCTCAGCTTCAACCCGTGAGACCATCTGTTGGGGCGCAGCTTGAGACCACCCCGATCAAACCGGGCAAATGTCAGCCAAACTATGCCAAACTATGCAATACCGTAAACCAGAATGGATCAATGGTTTGAGTCTACACTGGCCTCCTGATGTTCCTTCAAAAAGCATTTTACACATTGCCCTATTAAGAAACCACTCAAAGTTCGCGATATCAACCCAAAAATAACCGTTGACTTGCTTATATAACAAAGAAAACAAGTCGGCAAAATCCAACTCTATATCGATGTTTGCTGCCTTTCTGCTGCTTGCTTCACCAGATCAGTAGGCATCCACGGGGACAGTGAAGATATACAGTAACAGTTATAATCTGTATATAGTGAAGATGCCTCTATAGTATAAGGAAGTGTGTTATTTTTTCACGTTTCTTTCTAGTGAGGGCCCCAAATCTCAGGTGATCTCAAAGATTCCACCATTTCCAGATCCGACTCGGCTCTCCCAACACCCCGTTGCGCGAGTTGCGCGCAATTGGTTATCGGTGTTCTGAGGTGGTCACCTTGAAGATCTGTACCTCTTCTTCATCGCTAAAGTCGCTTTCCTCCTCTGACAGGAGATCCTCGCGAGGATGTCACACCACGACGATTGAGGATCGTTTCGGTTCGATGGCACGAACCCAAAGAATCCCGACAAGCAGATGTCTTTTAGATGGGGGTCCATATATAAACATATAACTATAATATATATACAGTATAACTATATTACACAATATATACCACCTTTGAGGGGGGATTGTGCCATCTGAACCCGCGGTATTCAGAGGATGCCGTTCTGGCAAAAGCGACCACGGCAGGCAAACAACGGCAGGCGACGCGGTCTGCCCGGTCTGAGAAGGCCTTTGAGTCATCACTGCGAATGGCACCGGACGACCCACCGGTGGACATCGAGCTTCGGGTCACTTTCCATCCGATACACAAAGCCAACGAGCGAGGAGGTTAGAGTCTGAGGTCAGACTCTAGAGGAGGTTGGTGAAGACGCAAGTGGAGCATGAGGTGAAGACGCAAAGCACCCCTGCCACTTGTTCCAGATCAAGGGGATGAGTCGCCCTAAGTACAAGTAGCATTGGGCCCTCCTAGAGGTTTTTGACCCTGCTATGAGCAGGGGTTTCGGACCCTCAAAACCTCCAATTTGAGGGTCCTTGCTTCCTTAAGTGAGGCAAAAAACAAACACTTCAATTACGGATACTTAAGGACTCCCATCGGACCGTAAACACTCCAATTGGATCCGTCAACGGTACCGTGAGTCGCCACCCACGCCGTCCACGCTCGACGACCCAGGCGCCACCGCCCCCACCCCCGGTCGGCCACCGCCTCACCGCGCTCGATCGAGGGCCCGTGCACCGCCTCGAGCGACGTCGAGTCGACCGGCGCGGACCGTGCGACGTCGTCGGCGGAGGAAAAGGGGTGGCGTTCTGGAAGAGTGGACAGTACAGTTGAGGAGTCCAAGCAATCCAAGCAAGAAAAACAGCAAGACACGACCAGTTGAGGAGTCTCTACTCTGTTGAGGAGTCTTTACAAGCAAATATACCAATAGACCGACTGAACAGGAATGGAATGACCCGAGACTCGGCTTCTGACCCGAGGACCCTCGGTCGAAAAGGTAAAAGGATGACCTATACAGCTGCTGAGGTCGGGTCCTGAGGTCCTGATCTTGACGACTCATCTCTTGACATCGAGACGAACCCCCCCAGGATGACCGGGCCTCTGGAACTCTTCGGGTCACTCGGGTCACCTCCGGCTTTGGAACCTCTAACCCGGTTCGCAGGTCACTCCGGTGGCAAAAAAAAACCGAAAACAAAACACCTGCCAGCAGTCACAAGACGGGGTGCCGAACTTGGAAGATAGGGGTGCCCAGCTACTCCACGGCCCCTGGGCCTCAAAACGCACCCAACTCCATATGACTCCTGGTGGTTTTTGAGGCCACCAGACTCTCCTCGTCCACCTTCCGGTCGTCCGCCTTCTCCACCGTGACGGAGGAGGCCTTGGGCGTTTTGGCCTTTCGCTCCTGTCCACCTGCACGGGGTCCGGGGACCCGACGAAGGATACGGTGACGTTCCTTCTCTTGAGTTGGTCTTGGAGTCGAGGTGCTGCTTGAAGATGCTTGAGGTATTGGGATGGATTGGGATGGATTGGGATGGATTGGGATGGATTGGGA